TTGACGAGCAAGACAGTTACAGTCTTGTTTGGACATGTTTCCTTTACCGATAACCCTTGTTTGAAATATGAGGATGCTGGGTCACACAGAGGGATGGCGTTGAACATTACTTGATAGGGGAACATTAGTTGATAGGGAAACATTAGCAGGAGCTGAACACTCGGGAGCTGACTTCAAATTCTGAAGGTTAATATCCTAACATACACCAGGGGAATTGTGGGAATATTTGATGATGCGTGTTGAGAAGGGAGCATGGGGTTATTAAGCAGGGTCTTGAAAGACTGGTCATATGAGATGGAACTTGAAGGGGATTGATGGAGGTGAACTGGGGTTAAAGTTGAAACTTGCGTGGTTGATGTCCAATTTTGATGGAACTAACACATGATAGAGGGAATGTTTGATCTTGACTATGAGATTTCCTTTCCATACTTATATGATTGGGTTGATAATATAGTAGGTTCCTTGCTTGATAAGAAAACTTGTGAAATCATTTCAAGACCAATGTTTTGAAAGCCCCGTTTCCAAACTTGGGTTGATTGGTTTGTTGTTTAATGCTGCCCTCAGCAATATTCTAGCTATATGATGGCAGTTTGTTAATAATTAAGTCTGGACCAGACAATCCAGTGATTAATATCATGAGCATCGATCCATGCCATTGGGATCGATGACATGCATCAACCAAGTCAGCGAGCCATCCCACCTGATCCTGTTAGATGCTTTTTATGACAAGCATAGTGGCCTTTTACAGCAAGCATGGGTTGCTAAAGACCTATTCTACCCTGGATCTTCACGGGTCTCCAAAATTGGGAGTTGTTTTATTTGTTACCTAGATACTGTTAATACTGTAGGAGTGCAAAAAACTTGTGATAGGTTTGAATTCTGAATCATTCATTGTCGTTCTAGGTTTGTCTGCACCACATTTGGTGCTCGTTGTTAATGTCTACAACATGCATAACAGACTTTAGTCCCGCATCAAGCTGACATGTTGTGATATGACTCACTCACTGCTATCTGAAAAAGTAACTTCTGAAAATCTGTCTATTTCATTTTTATCTGGCCTGTGTACAGAAAACTTTTATGAAGTCATCTGGGTTATCTGATGTATCTGAACATACCCCGCTGGATCTGCCAAATCCTGTTTCCACTTCTCTGGTCCTGAAAGTAGCTAACAGTATCCTTGGTGTAATTCTAAAATTCTAATTACAAAAACACTGTAAATCAAGGTATATATTTACCAAAACTATGATTGGCACAATAGTTTTTTGCAATTAGTTACAAATGTCGGGTAATTTAAGCTGGTGATGAAGGCAAATGTTAAGATTTAATTTTGATACAGTTGAAGAAAAAGAGTTTATGCAGTTATATTTACTTGAAAACTTGAAACTTTGTTTATTAATAAAAACCCGATATGTCAACGCCAGAGAATGATCAGTCTCGATTATCTGACGTAACAGATTCCATTGGTCATAAAGGCAAAATAGAAGTGAAAATTACCTGAGTGGATCACCGAAAAGCAGAGATGACACCAGGGCCCAGTTGCACAAAGCGATCTTAGCACTACAACTATTGTAAGCCTATGTTAAAGTATGGGAGTTGTGATCATCTTAGCGCTAAGGTCGCTTTGTGCAATTGGGCCCAGGTGTTGGCCAAAAGAATAAGCATGCCCTTCCCTACCGCTAGCACCTCCACTCTCACAATTTCCATAAAATAGTATGAAAAGAAAGATCTATATTTTGAATGCGCTAAAGGTTACATGGAGATCTATATTTTAATTCCATATAGTTTTTATTTTAGAGATTCTTTTCTTCAAGTGAGCTAGAACCACATATAATTGCAGAGGTTGTGTTGTGTTATTTAATGACTTTCACATATTGTTGCCGCCCTTCCCTCTTTCCTTTCATTCAAATAACAATTTTATGGGTTAGGTAATTCTCCTATGGGAGATTGTCCAATATCAATAGTTTTTGCAAGCCTTCTTTTGAAACTATCGCTATAGCAACCTGAGACTAGCCTTTGTTTGGGGGAGATTGATGTTATAGATTTTTCAGGGAAAATACAATATTTGATTGATTCTGACAGTGTAGGCTAATAGAACTAGGGCAATGTTTCTTTTATGCATCCCCCTGGAATTATGTCATTTCTGTAAACACACTCTCATTCATGTCTTGGGATGGAGTAAAATCTTGTCTTGAAGCAGCAGGACTTGTTTGCCATAATACAAATCAGAATTCACCCGTGGAGAATTGGTCTCCAGTATCTAGCATGTCGCAAGAGGTGACTAACTGGATCAGGTAGTCAGGCACGGTGACATTGGTTGTTGCTCATGATGTCAACCACTAGTTTGATGTGACCAAAGTATTGTTTACTATACCAAAGAAACAGCAAATAAATTCAGGGAATTTCAGTAATCTACGAACTGACGGATATAAAGAAGATCTGTTTTTTTTGGTCCCGGCCATTTTCTGTATATATGCTGTATATGTCCTTCTAATGAACTACGGTTAGAACGAACTACAGTTGTAACGAACTACGGTTATAACAGACTAGAATTAGTGGTCCCTTTGAGTTTGTTATAACCATAGTTTAACTACATACAGTAGATATTTAAATGAAAAGTCGTGACGAAGGTGTTTTCATTACACAACAGAACCGTTTGGTCGGGCTGCACTATGTATTGATCTCCTTATGCGTGCACTATTATCAGGCTGATGGTTTTTATGCTTTTATTCTATCTGCATGCAACATTTCTGCAGGATGTTACGGTTGCCAGTAGCAACAGTATAAACAATTCCTGATCATTTTCCAACTATGAGATGCCCCTCCAAACATCCCGATTGCTTCCCTCCCAACCCTGTGTGGAGTAAACACATCAAAGCAGGAGGTGTAATGTATGGTGTAGAGTTGCATTGCATTGTGTGGGGGAGGAGGCAGCTCACCTAGGTCAGGCAGTGAGGAGAGCTTGCAGGTTATAAAGCCACATATAGCTCACTCTTCTCTGTGTAACTTCCGCCTAGCTGTGTGGAGAACGAGGGACAGTGTGGATAGGCTCCACTCACTTCAGCTACACATTCATGTGTTTACGTTGAGAGATGGGACATGGTATGTTTGATGGGACACGAATCTGTATGTGAGGCTTCTAGGGTTGACTGAGATAAAAAAAAGGGCCAGTTAATGACTGTACTGTGGGAATAAGAAGCGGAGTGTTGTGATCTGGACCTCGAATCAATGAGCAGTCAGTCCACCAGGTGATCAGGAGAACTGGGTGAACGTGAGGTAGGCTGATTGCCGTCTGCTCTTGGACGTGTTGTGTACATTCGGTGGTGGGAAAGGTGGGATTGGGCACGACAAGCCGAGTAGGAAGTGGTCAGGACAGACGTAGGAAGTGAGGAAGCAGACCCCAGACGCACACCTCTCTCTGCCCTTTCTCTCAGCTTAAACTCTAAATGTTGCTAATCAAAGCCAGACTCTGCTGGACACTGTGCACATCCGGAGGTACTGAAAGTGTGCTGTAAATCTGTGTTTATTGTGTGATAAGACTGTGTGCTCAATATGACCCTGATGTGAGGCTACCCGCTTGATTTCAAACAGACATACATTACAAGCCTGGCGACCCTCTCTCACAGCCCCAAGTCTGATAAGGCTGTGTCTGACCGGGGATAGCAGTGATTTATCATCAAGTGGTTTCCCACATTCCTCACTGCTGCTACATAGCAGACGACTTTTGCCTCAGGTCAGTCTCAGGTCTCAATACCATACAGTCATGTTCCTTCCACGGAAGCTACCTGGTGTTGAAGAAATTGTATGAGAAAAACGAAATGTTAATCCAGCCACTGGGAACTCCCACTGTTAAAGAAACTGTATGAGAAACAGACGACAAATTATATGGTTTCTGTTTACGAGGTGTACAGTTTGAGTGATACGAACAAGGTGTAGTCTGTTGGATATTAATCTTCACTTGGTGGTGAGTGCTGTGAGATAAGACTGTGAGATACAGAGGACAGGGGGGCCGTATATCTAAGCTAAGATCTTCATCAGCTGACGCACAAGGATCTGACACACTCTATCAATCCCCTCAGGCCTGGATCCACCTCTCTTACTCGGCTGGGTGTCCACTGACCTAGTCACATGGCCATAGGTATATGCACCCTGCTGGGTGGGACGTTGTAGGGTCAGAAATTAGTTATATGCCTGTAGGAAGGAGGCAACAGACAAAACAAAACTGTCTTTCTGTTGGACAGAGTACAGCCAGACTGTTGTCATGAGCCTGCTTGAGAGTAACTGGCTGTCAAAATACAATCCTGCTGGGTCGGCAGGAGCAGAAGCAAACCTTGTCTGAGAATCAGTTGGAGAGTGTTAGCTGTGAAAACACAGGCTGTGGTACTGCATGCGAGAAACAACATTCGGTGGCAGACGTGTGGATCTCATCCATCATACAACGTTGGAGATGGTTACAGGAACAAAGATGGATGTGAATGACTTGTGGATTTAGATTTGATGACGGAGACACATTGACATTGACTTGACTAAATCTCCCATCTGGCAAACGGTCCATATGCGACTACACTGTTTAGGAGTATCAAATGAGTATTGTGGTGCTTGGACTGATGCGGATTGTCTTGTGAAGAGAACAGGAACTCACTGTGAGTTGTGCTCACAGCAGTCTGTGAAGTAGCCCCTTGTTGTGCTCTGTGGGCACAGACTGTGACCAGTCAACTATTTGCTGTGTACAAGGAGGGTTTTTGTCACTGTCTGAGAGCTGGAGAGACTGCACCTCTTAGCAGGACTGTTATAATTGCCAGCTCCAAATTCCTTGGAAACCTGAAATTTTGTGCATAACTTACCCTTTGCGTTTCCTTGGATCCTTACATACCTATAAACACTCTTAGTGGATAATACAACATTAGGTGTGGAATTATTGTGTGCAGGAGTTGTTATCATGTGGTAGAGCTGTATGGAATATGAGTACTGTGCTAATGATGGCATTTTCTGATGTATCCAAGGTTCTCCACCGAGAGGCAGCACCCCAGGAACGCCAAGTGGCGCCATCTTCAGGTAAGCTACAATTACAGTATAACCTGTGTGGACTGGTGCCGATGTACTCTAAACTCTTACCAAGATGGAACCAACACAAATAACCTGGGTGCCGTTGTACAAAGCGATCGTAGCACTAAGGTGATTGTAACTGCTATACTTTAGACTTCTGACAGTCGTAGCGCTAAGGTTGTTTTGTACAATGGCACCTAGATCAGAATATCCTGCTTTGACCTTGAGTTTGTTCCTGCCTGGTATATGTTCGTCACATTAATGAGTATATACTCACTTTCAAAAGTTAAGCGACACCAGAATTGATCTTTCTTATAAATGATAGGCCTATCTCAATATAACCTTTGTTATAGAACTAAGAGAACTAAATTATTGAACTAAATTATTGACTGAAAATTATGTTAACTGACAAGAAATTATGTGTAAGTGATTAGTCACATATATTTTTAATACTTGGCAGCTCCTTTTTAAGCTTGAAGTCCAGGTGTTAATGTTGAAACAAATGTTTCAGTAAAAGCGTTGATTACCCTTTCACTTCATAACAAGTGACATTGTAAACAAGGGCACAGATCATCGAACATTTTGCCACAATTGATGGTTATTGTTACCTTACTAGCAGTCCATTCTTATTGTTAGCATGGATCACTGTGTAAGCCACTGTCAGACCTTTGTGAAATGGTATTTGGGACATTTATTTGATCTATGGATATTTCATCTAGCCTAGCTGCCTCACCATGCTCACAGTGATTCAAGTATATACACCAACATTCAATGCCTCCTATTTGCTCTCAGTTTTATAAGTAGTTTTAACAGTAGTTTTTTCTCATCAACTCTCAGATTATTTTAGATACAGGTGCTTTTTTGCTTTGTGTAGATTATTAATGTACAATTGACAAGCTTAAGAAGTTTGTCAATTAAAGACTATAGAAATAAGAAATAGGGTGTTTTTAAGGCATGAAAGAAAAATCAATTAAATTGCTACATAGCTATAAAGAAACAGAAAATATGAGATATGGTTTGAGAGTATTTTGTATAGCATGTCTGTTGTCTTTTGTGATTTTATTGCCTATTTCCTTTTGACAACATGTTTCACAATATGTATTATTATCTAACACCACAATATATGTACAAAAATGTAAGCTATTCCATTTTAGTTATTATATACTCAATTAAATCCTTTAGATATAATAGTTAAATATTTCTGAAAACTGTTCAATTTGTTCTCTCTCATACAGACCCTGACAAAAACAAAAATCTACAATACTTTGCTAAATCTAGATTACCTCAGTTTCTGAAAATATAGAGATTCTCTGGGTTCGTTTCTATTTGTTATCAAAAGACGCAATACAATCTTAAAATATTCTCCTATGTATAGTCCCTAGATGTGGCAAAACCAACTCTGACATCAGCTGCACTTCTGTACTTCTCACTAGGGCTTTATGTGTGTAATCCCCTCCTTATTTAGGCCTGGGAAAACCCCAGTATTAAACTGAATCTGATGTAACCGTTTTAGATAGGAGCAATCTGATTGGCTAAAGAGGAGATAAGCTAGGCCATTGTGCACGCTTTGGAGTATTCAAATGATGGTATGAACCTTATTCAACTGTAAGGGGAGTTGTTATCGGCGTGACAGTTAAACAGGTTTCTTTTGTTTACAGGTTTCTCTTTCTACAGTGTACCTTTCCTTTTCTTGTTTCAAAATAAACTGAATAAACTGTCAGTTTGAGACTTTGGGGGCAGTTTGGTTTATTAAGGAAGTATTTTTTAATATGTTCGTTATTTTTTAAGGGTAGTAACACTGAAACTGAAACTGAAACATATTTGATTGCAACAACATTTCAGATTTTTTTTAGGACCTCCAAGCACTTTTAGCTTTTAGTCAGTGTTGAATTATTCATACAGAAATGATATCATAATTTGATTCTGGAATTTTGATACATAAAGTTATGTATTTATGTAGGGGCATAGTTTCTGACGTTTGAAACCTGATCTGCCAGATGTTGTATTGATAATAAACAGATATGAATATTCAGAACAGGTATACAGATTATTGAGATCAGTGACTTGAGTGTTTTGAAGTATAGTTGGTTTGTACCTTCGGTAGACTATTGGCTAACATCAAGTCTCTGAAATGAAAGTATTTAAAAAGATTCTTGGGGTTAAGGTTGCTTTTGCTATATAAATAAAAGGGGGCACGGGTGGCCCAGTCGTCTAAGGCACCATGATTCGCTGTGCAGAGTTACGTCCCTTGGGCACGCCAGAAACCTATGATTGTCGGTTCGAATCCCGATTCACCCTGATTATGTTTCTAGGTTTGTCAGCACCATACCCATGCTCATGGGTTTCACCGAAGTGGCTTTCCTCCCACATTAAGCTGACACGCCGCGATATTACTGGAATACTGTTAAAAGCGGCATTAAACCCAACTCACTCACTCACTCACTCACTCACTCACTCACTCACTCACTCACTCACTCACTAGAAATAAAAACATGTATCCATAACTAATAGCAACAGAAGACATTTCCATAATCCTAAGATATCTCTACTGCAAGCAGAGTCTATTGCAGTGTTTATGATTCAATACCACACTGGGGTGCCATCAGGTGTTTGCAAATATAATGGATCCAGTAGAATCTCATAATTTTCTGAACTGAAGAAGTCTAGACTTGCCAAAGTATTGCAGACTTCCTTGGGATTTTTTTTATATGTTAGGTTCAGGGACTGCATGACAAACTAGTTGATTTGTCGGGGGTTGGGTAGCCTAGTGGTTAAAGCATTTCGCTCATAACGCCAAAGACCCTGGTTCGATTCCGTCCTGGGTACAATGTGTGAAGCCCATTTCTTGTGACCCTTGCTGTGATATTGCTGGAATATTGCTAAAAGTGTGTAAAACCATACTCACTCACTAGTTGATTTGTCAACTACAGTACAAATTACTGTTATGACAGGGCTCAGCATGTGCCTACATGGTAATCAAACTCAGCTTTAGTGTGATGATTGAACACGCGACGAATAGGATGCATGAGTTTAAGAAAAGAAATCAAGGAAATTATTCTGACCCTTACCACAGTATCTAGACAAAATATATGTGAATGCTGACCTGAGTCAATTTTTCAGGAATTTGATTTTTCTTCAATATGTTCTTGTATTGTACTTCCTCCCTATAAGGAAAAAGATTTGGATTTGAGATAAAACCAATGTTTTCACTTAAGAAACAAATGCATGTAAATGAAATATATAAATATGTAATCAATTGAAATGATTTTCAGATAAATTAGTTTCAGATAACCTCGACATGTGATATTTAATCGTGTAAAGTCACATTGCATTAAAATTAAGACCATTTTGTCTTAGGATCTGACGACTAATCTCACACTAATTATTCAAATGCAGAACTATGCTGACAGCGTGAATATTTTAGAAATTTGTCATGTGAATATAGAAGAGATGATAACAGAGATACCGCGTCCAACTGGTATGTTACCTGTAATACTTACCTGGCCAGGTGAGTTCAGCAGGTGGTTGTTACCTGTGTGGGAGCAGCCTGGCCAGGTGAGTCATTCTCCAGGTATCTGTTCCAGCTCGTCTGAATGCCACGGAGATGCTGTTGGATCTGGCTTTGTTACATTGTGTTTTATAATGGTGTTTTCTAGGATGTAGGCATCCAATTCTTGCCTCCTTGGTTGATATGGGGATTCTGTATACAATAGTTATGTGGTTGTGTTGATAGCTGGTAGTACACTACTGATGTTTTAAAACAATGTTGACTGAATACACTTCAAATAGAGATATTTTTATGAAATTGTGTCAGTATTCACTACAAAAAAAATGTCCCCATAAATATTCACGTTCCCTAATTATTTTTATTCAGTTTATGATTACATGCTGTAAAACCTGACTTGAATTTAAATTGAAAATGTAATGAAGCATTTAGAAGACTATTATTGCTTAATACTTAGTGGGAGCAGTTTTGGGGCTAGTTGAGTGACAAGCGTTTACAGTTTTATTTACATCTTTTCTTTCACTGTTGGGAAAGACATTGATATTTAATACTGTGGTTTTAAAACATGTTGTTAACCCAGGTTTATGTTACGTCATTATGATATAAGATTGCTAAAAACTGCAATTTTAATAAACGTAAACTTAATTTTGTTTTTAAAATCAATACGTGTGTGGAAGGGCTATTGGAACAAGATGCTAAATCCAGGCATCACAAGATTCAGAGATACCATGTGGACTGATCAGCTGTTAGATCCCATAACTCATTTGCATAAACACCTCAAGTCTCTTGGTCTTATATTGAGGGAGGAAAGTAGGCAAGTGTTATAGTGAGGCTGGGTATGCCTGCCAGGGATTGTCTGGACCCTTGTGCACGCAATCAATATGGAGGTCCACCATCTCACAGGTGAAGCCTACCACTTGGGTAAGGTTGTGTACAACTGGAGATTGAGACACTAGACATACTGTTAGATATTTTGTAGGGTTCATATGTATCTGGAATTGAATTTCTTATGGGTAAAGTATGTATAGTTTGTAACATAAGTAAAACATATAAATTAATTGTCAGACAGGCTTACAGGGGTGGTTGAATGTAAATATCTTGAACTGGTTTTGTAATGACTACAATATCGAAACTAAATAACAGAAGTAATATAGGCAACTTAATTTATCTGACAGGCGTACAGGGGCTTTAATAGCTTGAATAGATTTTCTAATGGGTACAATGTTTTAAACTATGTGACACTAGTAATTATAAAAAAAATTAAGATGAAAGAGTTAATACTGCTTGAAGATTTTGAAATCATGTTAATTTCAAGGAAAATTTATAAAACAAGCATATCAATAGTGTCTATGGGTATTCTATTTCTTTTACTTTTTAATCAAATATTATATCAAAAAGATTTAACCTTGGATAAAACAACTTCACAAATCTGTGTCAACAAAATGACTACAAAGTCATGTTTGCACAAGTTTAGAAAGTGCACCAGCTCACATTGTTGCCACCAACAAGCCTATTAGTGGCATATGTGATAAACAGTTGGAGAACAGTCTTTTTATCCCTATTTTAGTACAGACAAAGTAGATAGATTTGCTGTGAGAAAAGGGGTAACAAAGACCAGTGGCAGGGAATAGTACTCCACCAGTCATCTGATACCTCCAAAAGGAGGCATTGAAGTAAACTACAGTGGGAGTGAATTAGGTGTTAATAGACCCCCTCTTTTACCCTTTGTTCTTTGTATGGAGACTATGCATGGGCTTTGTGTTTCAGTGCAGTGTGAAATACAGGAAAAGGTCACAATATACATTAATTTAGTTATCAAACGCAGGCTTAATATCTTGATAAAGGATTTAGGGTTATTCGGGGCTATGTGATATATGAAAGCCCTTTGAAATGCATTTGTAGTTAAAAAGCAGGCAGTGTTGTGAATATGATGTTTGATGTATTTAATATTTTTATATACCTTTGTAATACCTAACCTTTTGTACATCATAGCCATAATCCTGCCGTCCTAACACTATAAATTTGTCAGATATTTCAACAGATGTCCTCTTCACTGTCGGCTATCCAAATAGTAGTTGTGTGGGAAACAGCATTAAAACTGCTCTACTGTGCCAGCTCTAGGCGGGAAAATGTCACTTTTATCTGTGTGATGTTGATTTTAATTTGAGGTATTATTATAAATAAATAGAAAATAATTGCAGTGAGTGTTATTTTCTGCTAATTTCAGCAATATTCATCCTATATCAAAACTGGGCATCACAAACACTTATTGACATCAGGAGCAACAATCCCTTGTCACCTGTCTCCATGTAGGTTGGTGCTGGAGTTGTATCCTGATGACTTGCCTGGTTACGTGTCTTTTTACTCTGATTGTTGCTCACGATATCGATCATTGGACTTGATTATTTCCAGACTTCTGTCAACAGGTCTCGGTGTTTCATATCTGTCAACATTCTGTCGTTGCAGGGTCAAGTCTGCGGCCATCTCACTCTTTCAAAGTGAGGTCTTCGTCTGCACCGGTCAAGACACAGGTACTGTCAAAAACGTGTATTAGGTTTTTTTAAGAATATACATTTATTATCAGAGGAGTTAAGTTTCTTTTTTTATCCGTTTTCTACAAATGTTATTAAAATGTAGTTTTAATGAGTTTTTCTTTAGAATTAAAATAATACTATTTTTTCTAATTATTTTGCTAATTTCCATTTTTTCTCTCATAGCAATCCTTGCAGCCATCAACCCATTTTGTCCCACACCGCCACAGCCTGCCTACACCCAGGTAAGTGGGAGTTCACACACTGTTGTCCGTACTACTACTTCTAATAATAACACTACTTTCCTTGCTACTTATCGTTGTGAATGCAGTTGTAATGTAGCCAGATGGATAACATGTCTTGGTGAGATAGGACTGTGTACTCAGATGTTTGTCTTGCTTGTACACAAAAATTTTCTCAGAGAGAATTGCATTTTTACTTTCCATTTTCACAACATAAATATCCCGGTTCTAATGCACAGTACTGTTACCTGCATGATCTAGGCTTAAATCACCACAACAGTGTAGTATCCTGCATCTTATTTCTCTTGTGTCTTAGAATTTCTGTGTTTGATATATTGAATGTAATATTTTGTGTGAGAGGGTCTGTTTGCCTGTGTGAAACCTGAATGTGTAAGGACACACACACAATCATTACGCATTGTAGCCATGGGGGGAATAGAACCTGGATAACAGACTACATGAGCTAACACTTCAACCACTAGACCATCTTTCCCCACTCCAAAACATGCATACATCTTCCCGAGACAAGGGTTTTAACTAACTGTGAAAGTCCAGTTTCCAGCCTTGCCGAACTAGGCCTGAATTTCTGGGTTCGATCGTATTGCCAGTGACTACATGTATTACGAGTTATGTCCCTTCCATGAACCAATCAGATTCCACCTCTGATATCACTTGCATTTGTTTCAAACAAAATGGAGGCGCCCAGTAAAGATGATCTGATCAATAATCAAGATCTATATTGTAATAAAACGGTTGTTCCGTGCATCAAATCACATCAGCACCTTGATTAAAAAAGGAAAATATTTGGAAAATATCTGTTGACGTTAAGTTGATGGTACACATGCTTTGTGCAAATTCTGAAATCGGCTGAAATCTGAACGCAGTTTACGAACCAGATGTTGATTTCATTATGCGATTTTGACTGGACTATGCATAGACTTGTTAGTCCAGCCAAAATTCCAGCCTAATCCGGCAAGGATGGAAACTGGATTTTTACTGTCAGTTTACTCCCTTGCCTTGGGAAGATGACGTACGCCCTGCCACACACACTGGCTTGGGTGCAGTTTCTTTCCCTGTTGTGACCGTCAGCCATATGTCCTCTCATAGCAACAGTATCATGATGATTAAGTAAAAGAGACTAACTCCAATACCTGACAATATTTTAACATATTATCGATTTAATACTCCATATGAACTGAACAAATTTCAATTAAATCTTAGTACTTAATTATCATCATTTATTAATTGAGGTTAGATGTGCTAAAGTTAAAAAAATAAGAATCATTCCTGTGAATTGGGCTATGTATGGCCAACTTACGTAGTGACAAAAACGAAGAGGAAACTTTGTCGAAAACAAAATCCTATTCAGAAGCGGTGTGTACAAGAATGCTGAATACTTTAAATCAGGGGATAGTATACATATTGATGTTTGCCCAATATACAGTGCCTCTTGTGCCTGGCATGCCGATAGAATGTGTACTGGGAATACTGTCAAAACACCTCCTGTAACTGAAGCTGCACTTACCAGGGGTCACGCATGATGTCCAGAGGGGGCAGAGGAAATACACAATTAGGGGACAGGAAAGTGGGTATTCTTCTAACAGTTTGTTTGCGGGTAGAATGTTGTCTTGTCATCTATCAAGTTTGGTTACCTTGGGATTTTGTAGTGTAAGTATCTTGACAACTAAAACGCGTTGATGGAGGATTTATAGGCTACACGTCACTAGCTGACACATTGGGGAAGGCTGATGTTGGTTCTTCTTTTGTCATTCCGTCATTAAAATTGCTCTCAGCTATCAGCATACATTCACTTATTGAGTACTGAAGTTTGACACCTGTAAAGATGTAGGTTAGAATAGGTCTTCAGCAACCCATGCTTGCAGCACAATGGGATTGAGTGGTCAATCTCGCTGACTTTTTTTAGTCATGTTATGATTTCCAGATTGCTCATGATGTCAATCACTAGATTTTCTGGTCCAGACTTGATTGTTTACAGACCACCGTCATATAGCTGGAATATTGGTAAGCATGGCGTTAAACAACAAACAAACAAAACTTTAGTTTGTCTACAGATAAAGCCGTGTTATATCATTTCCCTGGTTTCAGATTTCTTTGGCAATATGCCAAGAGGCAATAGGCAAAAGAAAAAAGAAAAGAAAACATTATAAGGGCAAATCATTTTTTTCTTCTTGTTTTATGGTGTCACCAAACCAATTTTTTCCTTGATTTTGAAATATTATTACATGAAAAATGACAATTTCAAATTTTGCTTATGCAGACCTCCCTTACACATTCATTGATTTCTTAATCAAGGGGAGGCGGTCGGGTAGCCTAGTGGTTAAAGCGTTCGCTTGTCACGCCGAAGACCCGGGTTCAATTCCCGACATGGGTACAATGTGTGAAGCCCATTTCTGGTGTCCCCTGCCGTGATATTGCTGGAATATTGCTAATAGCGGCGTAAAACAATACTCACTCACGTACTTAATCAAGGGAATCAACTCTTATGCAATAGTCACTTGTCATCAGTAGAAGTGTAAATAAAGTTCATGGGACGACTACTGCGTCCCCACCATCAAAACCCGTCTTGCTGAGGACTGTTGTATATATACATGTGTGTATTGCTGCACGTAGTCGAGGCATGGTTGTGGGGTTTGGGACGTTTTTATTGCTGTTTCTCACATGGCTTTTCACAATGTCGACAAAGTATTTTAGCACAATGGTCACAAAACAGAACAGCTGTCTACTTAAGAAAATAGTTGGAATGAAACTTACTGACAGTTGGCCCGTTGTCATAATGCCATGGCCAGGTGCCCTGGCTGGTCTGATTTACGACTTGAAGATTATGAGAAGATTCTGTTGCATATCAAGGCGTTATTTAAATTACAGGTTCTTCATGCCTATCTGAGTACATGTCATAGTGTATAACTTATGTTTTAATATCCATACAGACCCTTGGGGTGTTTTAAGAGGTTGCTACTGTTTTAATGCTGAGGTATTGTCTCGGAGTCACGCATAAGGCTTTGTTGGCATTGGGGTACTTGTAACAGTTGTAACAGCCTAGCCTTGTGGTTAATGTGTTTGCTCGTCACGCCGAAGACCCGTGTTCGATTCCCGACATGGGTACAATGTGTGAAGCCCCAGTGTCCCCCGCTGTGATATTGCTGGAATATTGCTAAAAGCAGCGTAAAACAATACTCACTCAGTCACTCCACCAGGATATTGCCTCCATTTTGCAAACTACAGTCATTATATTCACTCACTCATTCATACATACGACCTGTGAAGATCCGGGGTAGAATATGTCTTCAGCAACCCATACTTGTCGCAAGAGAGACTAACAGGCTTGCTGACTTGGTTGATGCATGTCATCGTATCCCAAATTATAACTGGAATATTGCTGAGAGTGGCATTGAACAACAAGCACTCACTCTCACTTTCTCATGTGTTGGTTTTACCATGTAGGTGCGACACGCCTTTCTGTGTGCTCTACGTGTGGTGTGTGACCTGTGTCGGAGTCCATTAATGTGTATTGTGTGTCCTCTATGTGTGCTGTGTGAGTGTCCACTAATGTGTGTAGTGTGTCATCTATGTGTGCTTTGTGAGAATCCACTAATGTGTGTAGCGTGTCATCTACGTGTGTTGTGTGAGATTCAACTAATGTGTGTAGTGTGTCATCTAAGTGTGTTCCCCTGCACGTTCTCACTGCATGTGATGTTTGCCCACAGCCTCTTTGGTTCGTCTCCCACCTCCAGCAACGCCTCGTCCTCCGCCACGCATCAATGGCCGTTTAAATCAGTAGAGGAGTAAGTCCCATTACACTCATGCCAGCAAATGTGAACGATGTGCTACTAGATTCAGCAGCAGAGCTTTTGTTGTGGTGTATGTTCAATATTTCCTGAATTAGCAGAAGGGGTCTCCAGTCGCCATGCTTGCAAGGCATCAAAACGTGGACTAGGTGACCACAATGGCTGACTTTGGCTTCAACTTGGAGGGGTAACCACTTTAGCAGATACAGTCTCAGATGGAACCCTACGGTCTGTGTGTCACATACTCTTATTGAAGGGTCCCTGTGATGGGAACGAATAGCACCCAAACATCCCATGTTGTTATAGTCGACTGAAGAGGATTGGGTGGTCACGCTCGGTGACACATTTTATATTTGAAGATATCTGAATTTAACTATTATGATATTTGATATTTATGTAACAAATTCAGTCACAAATATTTTGAAACAAAAGCTCTGTGTTTGTGCACAAAGATTTGTTCATGTCACTTTCGTGAATTGATCTGAAATCCATAACAGTAAAGTCTTTGCAACACACATATAATCTGTGCGCGTGCGTGCATGCTGATGCTAAAATTTCGCCAAGTTTAATATTTGGTGCAATATTATATAAAATCTGATTAGATAGGCAAATAAAGCTATTCACTGGTCTCGAGGGGGGGCATGGGTTCATGTACCCTCTATGGTAGTCCATGTTGCCCCAGCCCGAAGAGTGTTGTCTTTAAACATGCTGATCTTGCTGTACGCTGCGTTTCTAATTTGGGTTGACCGAACTGCATGACATTTGGAGTGATATCTCCTGTTTGTGCCCCTGCCTCGGCAGGGTGGAGGGGGCACAGTTACGTCTACTAACAGGAGACTTTCTGCCATTGCAGGGCTATCAATGAGGGAGATGAGATTGATTCCGTCGGGTCCGGTCCGGATGTTGGACACTCCAAGTAAGTGATGCCCAGTTTCTCATCCCCTCAGATATATACTGCTCAAAAGAAGTCAATGAACGCCTGATATTTTTCCATATGACTTAGTTAATCTGTCATACTACTCAAAAGAAGTTAAGGAACACTTGATTTTTGTTCCTATGACTATGATGAATCTGTCATGCTACTGAAGTTAATGAACATGGCATGACAGATTAACTGTGGTCCTGAAAACATCAGATATTCTTTAATTTCGTTTGAGTAGTATATATATTGCCACACTGTTTTGAGTTTATGGTTAACAGATGTTTGCTAAATAGTAAGCTGGAGATGATTAGAATAAATATACGTTTTTGTAGCTCAATGCTTTATATTTTATTTGGCATGACTTGTTTTGGTTGGACGATTTTGTAGAAGGAAATGCTGATACTGTTTATATTACAGGATGTTTAGTATTTTTACTACAGCTTTTTTCATACAATATTCATTTCATCATTTATTATTTAAAAAGTTCATAGTTTATATTTCTCTCGTGAATGATTTCCGTTGTTGTAGTTTTTATTTTTCTGATATGAGGTCAGGCAAAGAGAGATAAATTTATTGTATTTTAGGTTTCTGGGTCTGTCAGCATCATGTCTGTTTGTGGGTTTTACCAAAGTAGTAAACGTCTGAACGTTTAATTTATTGGTGTATTGAGGTATTTAATATTAACTTCTTGTCTGTGATTTCCAGCATTCAGGACACAATATCGGAATCTATGGAGTCCCTCGAAGCTACCACTGGTGAGTTGCAGTAGAAAACAGGAATTTTGATATGTATTTACTACCTATATGACATTATGAAGTTTCAATGTTGTCAAGGGAGATAACTCTAGATGTTTTAATTAATGCAGATCCTGTTGTGATGATTTACTATGAGGGTTTCAGTTTTGTAGGGTCTGCTGACTTCACACATTTCACACTGTTTCACTTGATATAAAGAGTCTTTTCTTTATGTTGATTTTCAGATTTTTCTGTAACATAGAAATAAAGACACCAAAATCTTTTGACTTTCTGTTAATTGCAGAAACTTTGACAGGCAATGTCAGATTCAACTTTTGGAATTTCAGGGCATTTTCCAAGAACTACATGAGACTTACATGGAATAAAATGTGGAGTCTTTTTCTTTCGAATTGGAATTTCCCCCAAATATAAAATGGTGCTGATTTGTTCTCTTACAGTGAGAACAGAGGTGTCAATATTTGACGACAACCCGGAGCTGATGTTAGAGATTGATGAACCAGAAGCATGGAGTCTCACTGTAGACAGGAAGGTAGGAAAATGGCTGATACTCTCAGCAGATGATCAATTCCCAAGTTACCTTGGTTGTCGGTTTCACCAAAGTGGTGAGACCTGCATCACTCCCGGCTGTCCTCCCACATCAAGCTGACATGATGTGCTATAACCGAAATACTGTTCACAGTGGCGTTAAACCCAACTCACTCACTGATCAGATTATCGTCAGTCAGAGAGTCCCACCCACTTGATAGTGATGTAAGAATCTACATCGAAACACAGCTATATATACCGTATTCGATGTAATAAGCGCCCTGGGCGCTCTCAAAATTAGAAATAGGGGGCTCTTATTAGAATATTATTTTGGTGAAAAAAAAACAGAGTTGAAAGATAAATTACGTGGTTTCTGCTGACAGCCTGAAATTTTTATAAACGACAGATATATTTTTCCAGAATTTAATTCCCCATAATTAATGGTGCATATAACACACGAGTGCGTATTAGACACGAATAAATAAGTCTTGTGTACATTGATCAATTGGAAGGGGTGCTAATTGGGATTGTTCACTAGCCAATATATTAGCAAATATCGCCGTGGGCGCTTATTAGAGTGGGGCGCTTATTACGTCGAATACGGTATGCAATAGACCAGAAGTTGATATCCATAAAGTTATAATGTTTTCTTATTTACTCACTAACTTCTAGAATGCCAATTGAACAGTTATTTCGTCATCAAGATGCCGTTGTCTTGTTGTTACCAAGAAGAGTGCACTGCTAATTGTATTACTTTATTTTCATCATATCTTGAAGCATGCTGCGGAAGTGTTGACCAGAGTCACTGAGTCAAGTGCAGATGTATTCAATAATATTTCTAATACACCGGGGGGCGGTCGGGTAGCCTAGTGGTTAAGGCGTTAGCTCGTCACGCCGAAGACCCGGGTTCGTTTCCCGACATCGGTACAATGTGTGAAGCCCATTTCTGGTGTCCCCCGCCATGATATTGCGAGAATATTGCTAAAAGCGGCGTAAAACCATACTCAATTCAATTCAATCTAATACACTTGAACAAATATCTTCAGTTTTATGATTGGTGATGTTGTGTTTCAGACACTGAAGAAGATGAACACGAAGGATATTAAACGCCAGGACACGATCTGGGGTGAGTTTAGGAGATCTTGAGAATCACAAGGCTCTGGGAGCCAAGGTGCTGTCATTCTCTGTGCAGAGTTGTGTCTCTTAGGCGTGCCAGGATCCTATGATCATGGTCAGTTTCCATATTCACCTTGATTATTATTCTTGCTTTGTCGGCTCCAGACTGATGCTTGTGGTTTCATCAGTGTGGGGGCCACGTGAAGATCCAGGCAGAGAGTAAGTCTTCAGCAACCTGTGCTTGCCGTAAGAGGCGACTAACCGGATCGGGTGGTCAGGCTTGCCGACTTGGTTGATGCATGTCATCGTATCCCAATTGCATGGACCGATGTTCATGATGTCAATCACTGGATTGTCTACTCAAGACTTAATTGTTTACAGACTGCTGTCAAATAGCTGGGATATTGCCAAGTGTGGCATTAAACAACAAACAAACAAACAAACCAGTGTGGTAAATGTCTGTGAACTGCATCACCTTTTTCCTGCTGCGAATAATGTGAAATATGTATGATGTGTTATTATTCATCAAAGTATTAATGAATCAGAATATCCATTTGCTTGACTCAATAACAATCTTGAGGAAATGGATGTGTATCGATGTGTGTATTGAGTTGTTTTGAATGATCTGATAACCGACTTACTGCCCCGGCCCAGGCCGAGACTGAGACATGCAACTCCACTGTTCAATATTGCATGAAGTTGCTGACAGACCATCTTTCATGAAACACACAGAATTGATGTAGTGGATGTGCTCCATGTGCTGTGAGGTGAATCTCATGGTCATGTGTGTGTTTCATTTCAGAACTGATACAGACAGAGAAGGAATACTGCAAGACTCTTACCATTATGCAGAAGGTATGTAAAGGTTCAAGTTTAAATCGGAGACCAACTGGCAAACTTAGTACATATCATTCAAAAGCTCCATGTGATCTGCTTTCTCAGTTTTATTTTGTGTGTCTGTCTAGCCATTGATGCATGGAGATAACATCACAGATATCACACATGGAACTCAGTACAACATCTTAACTATGAATCTGTCCCTGATTTCTTATACTGTCTTTGTGCTCCTTAAAATATCTCTCAGTTTTCTTCCTCCCAACATTTTTATGCCACACAGGATGTCTGATTTAAATTATCTCAATACTGCTGACACCTCACTGACTCCTCCCCTGACTCACTCTGCTGCAGATGTTCAGTCAGGGCCTCCTGCAAGACCTCAACATGCCTGCCGAGCAGGTCGAGCGACTCTTCCCACAGATGGACGAACTCATCGAGATCCACACTACATTCCTGGCTCAGCTTCTCCGACTCCAGCAAGTGAAACATGACCGCAGCATCGACGATGTTGGACGGACTCTGCTTGACCAGGTAGGACAACCACCACACTGTATATCATTACATCTTCAGTTTGACACACCCCTCAAATCGAATAGCACCCAAACATCCCATGTTGTTATAGTCGACTGAAGAGGATTGGGTGGTCACGCTCAGTGACACATTTTATATTTGAAGATATCTGAATTTAACTATTATGATATTTGATATTTATGTAACAAATTCAGTCACAAATATTTTGAAACAAAAGCTCTGTGTTTGTGCACAAATATTTGTTCGTGTCACTTTCGTGAATTGATCTGAAATCCATAACAGTAAAGTCTTTGCAACACACATATAATCTGTGCGCGTGCGTGCATGCTGATGCTAAAATTTCGCCAAGTTTAATATTTGGTGCAATATTATATAAAATCTGATTAGATAGGCAAATAAAGCTATTCACTGTATATCATTACATCTTCAGTTTGACACACCCCTCAAATCTTGTGTACAGAAGAGGCATGGGTAGTTGTGGCAGAATCTCTGTGCAACATTCCATCTCTTGGACTTGCCAGAATCCTGAGATAATTTCAGATTCACTATGATATGCTTGTCCTACAACATAATGGGCTTTTCTGCTAAACGTTAACACACTGTTATAACTGAAATACTGTTCAAAGGGCATTCAACCAAACTCAATCACTCATTATCTTACAATGAGATTGCAATAACGGACTGGTGTACTGGAAATGTATGGTCAAGGGGAGACAATCCAGTCACCACAGTGTTTGAAGCAGTTGTAAAATCTACAAAACTGCCTGTCTTGTGATTGCATTGTCACTGAATAATGTGCTGTTAGGAATCAAATTCAATTGCTGTTGCTGCTTTTATTCATTTGTGAAAATGAGTTGCTTCTGTTTCAGTTTGATGGTGAAAATGTCGTACAGATGAAGGCAGTCTATGGTGCATTCTGCAGCAAACACAAAGAGGCAGTGCAACTGTATAAAGACCTATGTAAAACTGACCGGAAAGTGCAAATATTCTTTAAAGTAAGTCAATTCAAAATCATTCATGGATTTGATATTTTTTCTATATTTCTTCACATTTATTTAAATTTACTTGCTGTTATAAGATTTTTCCCCTTAAATTATTTTGAATATGTTTGAGATATTAAATTTACTTTATGATCAAACAGATGTTTCAATTAAGCTTAGTTTCTACTTAAACAGAATTTTGACTGATGAATATGTGAGTAGTATGGAAGTGGCATGGGTGGTGATATTAACGTCTCCCTTTTTTTGTTTCAGTCATGTATTAACCACAGTGCTTGTAAGCGCCGAGATGTGCCAGATTTTATCCTGGGCGTCACTATACGTCTTTCAAAATACCCAATCCTTATTGAAGCAATATGTAAGAGTACTAAAGGTAAGATCATCTTGTCATGGTACATTTCTCATTGTCATGCCTGGAATAGATAGCTACTAAAAATAAACACACAATGTGTCTTATTTTTTTATACCTCAGAAACAAATTGTGTAATTATCTCAGTTGTGTTTTTATGTGGGGGATTTACAATGAATTGGAACACATGATAGAAGATCAACATCTCAACATATTTCAATTGCAGTGATGTTTTGGTGTAGATTTTAACACCATTATCACGCAAGGGATGTTATGGAAGCAAGCATGGTTATGAACATATATACAGTAAACTACGTTTATAACGAACACGCTTATAACAAAGTGACGGATATAACGAACTGTCTTGTCCATTGGCTGTATATATATATCTGTTGTATATATGCTGATAACGAAGTACGGTTATACCAAACTAAAACTACTGGTCCCTTTGAGTTCGTTAAAACTGTAGTTTAGTGTATATGTTATGCACATAGCGGTGTGATTACTATGGTGATAGAATATGCACAGAAACACCTTGGAAATTGTAACAGTAAGGTTAATTATATGCAGTCCTATCATTAATTATTAACTGTCATCTTTTGATAATTAGATGATATTTCAAAATTGAATATAACTGACAAGCTACTGAAACAATGTTTTTTTACTCCTTAGACAAGAAAGATCGTGACCTGTTAAGCAGAGCCCTTAACTGGAGTAAGGGAGTGTTGACCGATGTCAATGAGAGGGTTGCAAACTACGAAAAACTGGTTGAGATACAGAGTCGAATAGACTCACGAGCCACAACTGTGTTCAAAGGCAAGAAGTTCAAGGTAAGTCATACAAGGTGAAGGTCGCGAGGTGATGAGAACTGTAACGTTTGTAGTCACTGCAGAATGTGGCTATTGAGATGGATTGGCTTGGAAATGGTTTTGAGAAGTTTGAAGTGAGAAGTTTTTGGAGATTCTTTTGTAGTTGCATCGGGTAATAAATCACCCGGAACCTCACAAGAACAGAAAGTTCATGTGATTTGTCATCTCTTTTTGTCTAAAAATGGAAATTATTTCCCTTTTGTTTTCATATTATTTGTTAATCAATGTGCAGCTTCTCTTCTTCTCTTACATTGATCATCCATTTTAGCGCCAAGACATTACTCTGCGAGGTCGCAAGTTGGTGCACACGGGTTTGATTGGGTGGAAGAGTGCACGAGGTCGGATCGTGGATCTCCTGGCTATCGTCCTCACTGACCTCATCTTCTTTGTGCAGGAGAGCAACCAGAAATACACATTCTTTGTCCAGGATGGCAAGGTGAGATATTTGTGGAGCAGTTTAAATACAGTGCAGTTGCCATGGAAATGTGTAACTTATGATTAGGCAGGCAAGGCAATGGTGGATAGTGTGCCTGTAACACAACATTCATTAGGAGAATTGTCTTTTTGATGTCCTAATAATGACACTGTTCAGAGGACACAAGTTATTTACAGTTGTCTTCAGTAGGGAAAATTCCTTTTCCTTTTGTGAGTTTGAATCCCAGATTTGTTCTGATTATGATCATTTGTCCATACCTGTGCTTTTGGGTTACCCTCATCATGGGGAATCCGGGTTAGAATTGGTCCCCAATAAACCTCAGTCAGGTGGTCAGGCCCAGTGATTTGGTTGATGGCATTGGATGGAGTTTTGGTTGCAATATCAATCACTGGATTGTCAAGTCCAGACTCCATTCTCCAGGCAGCGGTCATATAGGTGGAATATTGTTGAGTATGGTGTTCAACAACAAACACACTGTGGGTCTCACTAGAGTGTTCAACCAGCCATTTCAGCTTTCTTCCTTCATACTATTCAAAGGGGCCAAACCCTCTCACTTACACATGTTTAGAAAACCCAGAAGCATTGTTGTCCAGAGTATTGCATGCTTGTTGTAAGACCTAATGATTGAGGATAGGGTGTTTAGATGTAACCAGACTGAGTGTGTCTCGTAGATGCTGCTGAAGCAGTCACCTGCTGGTTGGCCTGAGTTGAGTATCATCTGTGCTCATATTTGTGTTCCAGTCCTGTGTGATACCACTGTACAAACTGCTAGTGAGAGAGAAGCGAGACACGAGGGATAGTCACGGCATCTACCTCATCTCCCAATACAGCAAGTCCCCCGAGATGTACGAGCTCGTCTGCCGCTCGAAGGATGACAAAGAGGGATGGATCAAGGTCATCCAGATGGCCAATGAGAAGTGTCCACGGGAAGGTAGGCTTCCCCTGCAGTACAGTGCATTACACACAGGCTAGGAGTAACATGGGTCCTAAACATGGAGAACAGGGTGCCGTTGTACAAAACAACCTTGGCGCTACGATGATTGTAAGCCTATGTTAAAGTATGGGAGTTACGATCACCTTAGTGCTAAAATCACTTTGTTCAACGGCACTCAATGCATTATACACAGGCTAGGAGTTATATGAGTCTCAAGCTTGGAGAACAAGCGGAACTGTCATTTGACTAGTGATGTCACATTAAACATTTGGACCTCCTGATGTCTGTCCAGACTTATCAGTTGTAGATGTAGATGGCCAATTGCAGATGGCTGGATTATTTCCTCTTTTCTCACCTGTTCCACATCTCTTTGGGACAGCCATCCAGGCCATTTTGTATCATATCGTGGATTTATTACGTGAATCTCTTCCTTGAATCTCTTCCTTGACTTGATTGACAGGAAAGCCCTCTGTAACTGATCCTAATCACTGTGACTAACTGCTTATGGTATGGGATTGTTTGACATTGAGACTTATGGAAGTGGGTTCTGTTCCAGTGGAGGAGGAAGTACCATCGTCAGAAATGGAGGAAGAAAAACGGAAACTGGAGGAGAGAGCTGCCAAGGCAAAGCTGATCATTGGTCAGTTCCACATAAGTATTAGATTTATGGTGTTATTTTTTGCTAAGTCCTACTGTCAAAAGGAATTTAACCTTTTAATAGGTAAGTGCAAGTGTATATGAACAATAAGTTAAGAATCAACAATACTGTGTTATCCATCAAAGGCAAAAGTTATTGTGATATGGGTATTTTTCACTTACAAACCTTTATGTGAAGTTTTGGATTTGAACCAGGCATGGAGAACCTTGAAGAAATGAAACCAACCAAATGTCGCTGGTGTTGAATGCTTTTGCAATAAATAAGGAATATTCAGTAGAAATTGCTTGATGTATTCTCTGTAAAAGGCCACATATCCATTCCTATGTCATTGTCACACTATGCAATCTATGGAAGTTCAGAAAACCAACACTTTTGATCATTTCAAAGAGATTTCCCTTAGAGAAAATAACAGTTCCTGGCAGTGTCCACAGTCACACCATATGACGTGGCAACATTATCAACAGATCAACCACATCAGAGAATGTCCACATAGTAGCCACCCACCCATTAGACAACCCCTCACCAAGATATATGGTGTCCAATCACACATCTTTGACATGGCAAACCTGGCAACAGAGGGGTATCTGAGAGGACAGTCCGATGACATCCATGCATCTACTACAGCAGTGTGAGAAGCCTATGGGCAGAACATCACTGTCCACATCTCCAGTGGTGCAGACAGTGCTTGGACAGCATGACAGTGGTGCAGACAGTGCTTGGACAGCATGACAGTGGTGCAGACAGTGCTTGGACAGCATGACAGTGGTGCAGACAGTGCTTGGACAGCATGACAGTGGTGCAGACAGTGCTTGGACAGCATGACAGCGGTGCAGACAGTGCTTGGACAGCATGACAGCGGTGCAGACAGTGCTTGGACAGCATGACAGCGGTGCAGACAGTGCTTGGACAGCATGACAGTGGTGCAGACAGTGCTTGGACAGCATGACAGTGGTGCAGACAGTGCTTGGACAGCATGACAGTGGTGCAGACAGTGCTTGGACAGCATGACAGTGGAGAAAGGTTTCCTTTCTTTCTTCACTGATCCGCTTACAGAATGCATGTCTCCAGGCGTGACTTTGGAGATGGTGATGTTGTCATCTGGACTGAGATTACGGCTACAGGAAGGATTCAAATGAGAGTGATTTGAATGCAGCGAAATACCATGATGAGATTTTGCAAATAGACATTTTACTAGTTTTGCAACAGCACGGCCTGGAGTAAGCACAATAACGACAGACTACATGCAGGAGTTGTGCAGAAGTATTGGACTCAAAGCAGAATTAATGTGTTACCCTGGCCTGCAAGATCCCTGAGCTGTAAACAATCAAATATGTCTGGGATCAAATGGAATGACGTTTGTGACGTCTTCCAAATTCTCTAACAACGCTGCAGGATCATCCGGCTTACCCTTCATCAGATATGGAATACCATTTCCCAGGCGTTTCTTCAACGTTCAGTGGCCTCCAAAAGACAAAGGTGGCAGACATGGTGTGAATACTTTAGATGTACACACTGACACCTGACTGTGTGAACTTGCCTCTGAACCCCCTTGTGTGACATAACTCAGTTGCAGGTTGCACAAGCACTTGTTATATGGACTGTTGCTTGTTTCCGTACCGTTAATGGGATATATACCCATCCACAGAATTCCATTCTTATAGACCCGTGAAGATTCTGGGGTAGAACAGGTCTTCAGCAACCCATACTTGCCGTAAAAGGTGACTATGCTTGTCGTAAAAGGCGACTAACGGAATTGGGTGGTCAGGCTCGCTGACTTGGTTGAAGCATGTCATCGATCCCAATTGCGTGGATCGATGCTCATGATATTAATCACTGGACTGTCTGGTCCAGACTCGATTATTTACAGACCGCCGTCATATAGCTGGAATATTGCTGAGTGCGGCGTTAAACAACAAACCAACAAACCAACCATTCTTATAACTGATGTACTTTGTATTTTGTATGTTGCAGTAACTTTTGCCTTGAGTATAGTTAGTTTCTAGTTGTCATTTTCCACAACATCTACCCAATTTACCTTGTATGCTAATTGTTATTTTTTGCAAACAAGTAGATAGCTATAATGGTGCTATTGTCTGAACAATAGGATGATGTCACAACAAGTTTTTCCCACATCTGAGGTTTCACATTTTCAACCAATGAGAGACAGATTTATTGGATTATACACAGCCCTGTTTATGTGTACATGTAATACTGTAATTATTATGAACTGAAAAATAGTACTGATAAAAGTAGGTTTTCTCCTTGCCAATACAAGATTGCACGATTTTGTTTTGTTTGTTGTTTAACGCCGCACTTAGCAATATTCAAGCTATGTGAAGGCGGTCTGTAAATAATCAAGTCTAGACAATCCTGTGATTGACATCATGAGCATCAATTTATGCAATTGGCATACGATGACATGCATCAGCCAAGTCAGCGAGTCTGACCACCCGAATTCTTACGCCTCTTACGACAAGCATAGACACCTTTTACAGCAAGCATGGATTGCTGAAGACCTATTCTATCCCTTCTATCCTGGGTCTTCACGAGATTGTAGGAGAGGTCCATGGTCATTACTGTGTAGTGTGGGGAGAATATACTGTAACTGTATTACATTGTCTGTCCACAGATCAGCTACATATCAAGGACTCCGAAATCAAACACTGCTGTGACGAGAAGAACAAGCTGATGCTAGAGCTTCTTGACCTGTACAAGGCCAATGATGAACCAAACTCGGTAGGCGTTCATTTGGAATTGACTTATATTATTGCGTTTATAAGACAAGGTATAAACGTAAAATCAGTGTACATGATTTGTTTCAATCCCCAGGCAAAAACATATTGGAGTAAATGAGTCAATGACAATAAAGGACTGCTTCATTAAAAAACATACAAAATGGTAGACAATGATACACAATCGTTACATTGTTCAGTGGAACAGTGTTCAGTCAGACAATCAGGAAATGGTAGACTGCTCGTCAACATGGGCTATGTTTTTGTAAGTTTATGGGAACATAAACACAATAGAAGTTGCTTGGTTAGCCAATCAAATGCCACAGAAACAGTTGCAAGTTGTCAGTGAAGAAATCAGTTGTGCAACAGTTGACTTCTGTTTTCAACTTCTCTATTCTTGTTATACATTTCAGTAAAGCTGTTGGTATCTTTATCAAGCCTATTTCCCACATTTCTCCAATAGTAGACAGACTATCACTGGATTCCCCACATTTTGAAAAAAATGTTTTCTTGATAAAATAGATCTGGACTAAAGTCATGATAGAAGGTGATACTCATACTGAATTCCATTTCCAGCGTCCGAGCTCAATGCATGAGGATGCGTCTGGCAGTGAGTCCCTGGAAGTGCTGCAAGCTGCTATGCATGAAGGTGTGTGTGAGAACAGTCTCAACATTGCTTGTGTCTGGCCATATGAGGAACAACAAGACAACTGAATGTGCTTAAGTCATACCATGCCTGTCTCATTTCATCCTCAAATTGTGCTTCATGTACACGTGTTCATATCCTCACCTGATGAAGGAGTAAGCATATACTCCGAAACGTTGCGTTCCTCATAATAAAGAAGTTGACATCCATATATTCTCTTCCTTATAATGCAATTATTTTTCAATTTGAGAAGCCAGTTAACAGGATTTGAAACTGGCAATAGAACATTAACAGTATCTGTTATATCTGCACCAAGAGACATTGACAGAATATCATGGGTGCAGTGGATGACATGTTCTGTTGTATCTTGTGTGGACATCATTTTCTGTTGTATCTCACCTGCAGCTTCTCGATTGGCAACAATCCTGCAGGGAAGCGGAACCCACCTGAGTCGAAGTGTATCAAGCGTTGGAGAGCACGTCAGCAATTCCTTCGTTGCTATGCCGGTGCCAAAAAGAGCAGAGACATTTGCTGGTTTCGATAGCAGCCATGATGTCCCTAAAGGTAAAAGTACTGGTTATCTTTTGCAGTTGGCAGAAGTTACATAAAAACTCCTTACAGACAACATGTATGCGGTTACAACAATAACTGATAGGTTTCTGACTGTGACTAGAACCCTAGCACCTAGGTAGAGACATCAATATTTTACTTCAATTCACTCTGTAGAGTTACCTCCCTTAGTTGTGCAAGGATCTGCTGATTCTGTGTTTTAAGATCCAACGTGATTTGTTACTGATTCCTATTTCCTGATAGAAACTTCCAATCTTACACCATTCCTGTTTCCTGGACTGTAGCAACCAGCTATTGATCGGTCAGACATGTATTTTCCTTTACATGTTTTCCTTCTATTGACAAGGAAGTGATGTTTTATCCAGGAAAAAACAGATATTATTTTATGCTTGACTGTGTACTGTTTCCTTGTAGGTGGCCTAAAGAAGCGGTTTGCGCCCCAGATCCATAACATGGAGGGTCGCAGCCCTAGCCTGCTGAGTCTCGACAAGCTAGAAGGTGACAGTGGCACGTCATCAATGCCGGAGTCCACTCCAGTGGTGGGTACACTCAACATGCTTGTGGTCTAACAGGGAATCACGCAAACTGAAGTTGGTTGTTAGAGCCAGAAAATAGGCGTGGAAATTTGGGTCTCTGGGTCACATCCTTCTCGGTTGTATTCCCTCAGTTGGGCAAAATCTGTCCGTCAAGTGTGGATAATATTTTCACTTATGATTATCTGTGGTGAACTATTTCTCAGGTGTGACTGGTGTGTTAATGTCCGCTTGCTGATGGTATCAATATGGTTATGCACACAATGTCACCTGTAGATTTGGTGAACCTGCTTCATGAATGTCTGATTAATTTAGCATACCCGGTAGCTGTGATGGAGCTTTGATATAACTGTATATATTTTCGTATATAAAAATATGGTTGATATTTCTTACAAACTTTTCACTTTAATATGGCCCTAACAGGAATCCTTTTGATTATTTTCTTTCTGACATAATGTATACTTCCAAACTGACCAAAAAAGGTCAGCTCCCAAACTGTAACTTGCAAATCAGAGCCTACTGTCTGTTTTACAATTTTATGACTTGGAGCCTAAGGGAGTAAGATGGTAATGAACAAATGTATATAATTGTTTACTTTATCCCGGTTTGTAAATAATCTGGTGTGATAATACTAACAAGTTATTTTTTGTTGCAAAAATAATGTCAGCTTGAGCAATAAGACATAACAGTTGCTTGTTGTGTTGATATTCTTCTTAGTGCAGAGAAGCCTTCTGTTGCCAGCATCAGGAAATATGTGTTTGGAAAAACAAAATTGAAACTTTTTGGGGAAAATAATTTATACGTTATTATGAACTTTAAAGCTGTTTACCATTTGTGGCCTGCTGGTTTTTTTGCAGACACAGGGGATCGGGTTCCTCATGCCTGTGAGAACGAGTTATGTTACTGACACACTTACGTAACGCTCAGACACATCAGTGTCACGTAAACACAGACCCCTACAGAACATTCACTTCAGCTGAAGTCTTTCCCTGTGTACAGAAGAGTTCAGGGTGTTTTTAAGATAAAGAAATCTTTATTTTTTATCTTTATCTTTATCTTTTATTATATAATGAACATCGTGAAAGATTTTTCATCCAGACTTGGTACATGTATTAACCAGGGGCTGAAGTGGTGCCTTTTGCTATTGTAGGGGCCGGGGGGATTTGTCATCTTCTGATGACACTTGTAGGTTTTGTACTTCTTGAGTTTTAACATAAAGATTATTCCATTTCATGGAGCAGATCAGCCTCTAGACATGCACAAGTCTCTAAGGCAATGATCATTAGTATCAATTCCTATATTATAGAAATAAAATGAACAAGTTGTCTCTGTGAAAGACCAGCTTATCTACATTTTTCCGGAGCATAATTTGAAAACTGTTTTTATCCAAGCTTGGTACATGTATTGACCAGTGGCTGAAGTGCTGCCTTTTGTTATAGTGGGGGCCAAAGGGGTTTGTCATCTTCTGATGACTATTGTTATACTTCGGGAAAAGTTGTTTCCAAGTTTGAGATAACAAGGTGCTACCATGATTGGGGGTGGGTAATTGTTTGGGGCAGTTGGGGGTTGAGAATCAGGGTGTCTTTCAGTTAGAACTTGTTTTGGTAAATAGCTTTTTAAAATAAATATTTGATATTGGAAATATATTTGTGTCTGTCTCCAGGACCCAACGGTCAGTGATGTCCATCGCCAAGACTCAATCAAGCCTGCATCCCCTCTCCAGCGCTCCATTCCTCATGTTTGGGAGGAGCAGGACTCGAGGGGGTCCGATCGATCCAGTGACAAGGGATCACTTGGAGAGCTGTCAGCATCCTCCATATCATCCTTGCCACCATCCCAGGGCAACCAGGAACAACTCCTCTCTATATCCCAGCTCGTCAAGTATCTCCACAACCTTATGGTGAGTCGGCTGTGTCATTCATATCTGTCTCTCCCATTTAAACATGTCTCTCCTATTCATATCTGTCTGTCCTATTCAAACCCGTGTCTCCCATTTAAACCTGTCTCTGTCTCTCGGATTAATATATGTCTCTCAAATGATTATATCTCTCCCATTCATATCTGTCTCTCATTCATACCTGTCTCTCCTATTCATATCTGTCTCTCCTGGGGGCACCGGTGGTCCCATTGTCTTAAGCGTTGCTATTCAATGTGCAGAGTTGTGTCCCTTAGGTGATCAGTAACTAATGGTTGCAGGTTTGAATCCCGGTTTGCCCTGACTATTACTATGTTTGTCAACACAATACACATGCTTGTGGGTTTCACCATAGTGGTAAACGTCTGAGACCTGCATCACTTCGGGCTTTCCTCCCACATCAAACTGACATAGCTTGTATAACTGAGCTCACTCACTCACTCTTGTATGGCAATTTTCAGTGATGCCCCTTTTGTTATTTCACTTGATTTCACCCTCTCACCCCTAATCCACAAAACTAACTCCCTGGCACCCCCATCGCCATACACATGTCACTGTCACTGTCTCGCCCCCTCTATCCCCCTCGTAAGACGACTTAAAAAGTTTCACCAAACCTTTGGGATTTCGGGGACAAAATAGGTGGCTTAAAATAACATTCATTTAGTCACACTTGTCTTTTGCTCATCAGGATGGTGGTGTAGCCTTGTGGTTATAGCGTTGGCTCATCATGCCAAAGACAGGGTTCGTTTCCTTACATGAGTACAATGTGTGAAGCCCATTTCTGTTGCCCCTGCCTTGATGTGGCTGGAATATTGCTAAAAGCGGCGTAAAACAATACTCACTCAGTCACTCACATTTGCTCATCAAATATCAACTCAATCTCTTGGCGAGACAATACAAGCTGAACTGACACGGCCCACATGGTGACATACACTGATAACCTTTGAACAACACTAAATAATATAATCTGTAGCAACATCACGAGGGGTATATGTCGTTGTATGAGTTAGGGATGAGGGATGCATAAGACCACATGTACCCCTATAGATACTGCCACTACAAATTTATCTTGCCTACATGTTTCATCTGCAATTGTAAATGAATCAAAACAAATTAAAATTTGATAGAAAACAGCTTTTTGATTGAGCTGAGGTTAACTTGTGCTATGTCATGTGACCTTCACAGACTCGTAAACAACATGCGTCTTTTTCCTTCGTGGCGGGGGTAAAGGGATTTGTTCTCCTGCTCAGAAATTTATTTCACTCCTAGGCAGGTAGTATAGTATTTTATCAAGGTCACATGAACCAATCAGATCTAAACATGGGACATGGAGGTGAGATACTCTGATATGACTTGTAACAATTTCCCCACATCACGACCAGGATTCTTCACTCCGAAATCCATAAACCAAGGATTACTACAGTCCTTAGAAGATATTCAAATGAAATGGGTTTTTTATTGTATTTTAGAAAGACGTCTGGAACTTTATTCTATGCCTTCTGAGTTCTACAATCAGTTATGTTTTAGTCTGTAAAATTAACACCACACTTTGCTGCACAGAATACACAAGCTTGTTTACTGAGGAAACAAAATAACACACAATATCCACCATGAAATCGATGAATATGGTTCTCAATGAGAGACTGCCTCTGGTCATGTCATGTTGGCACAAGTAGGCACAGATCCAGTGACAAACCGATTCCTACTTTTTGAAGAACCATAATGCAGACAAGAAGTAACAGCTGGTGGATAAGTTTCCCTCAGACGACATTACACAGAGAAAAAAATGCAGATATGGTTTACAAGAAATTGATGATGAAAGGACTTTAAAACTTCGAGGAATTCTGCTTTGTATATTTTTCTTATATGCTAAGCATGTAAAATTCTCTCATTTCTTGTCTTGTTAATATTTTTGCTACTTTATGATTTCAAATGCGTGTTGAAATTTATTCTGCTAGAGACTTAATTGTTTATTCAAATGTTCTTTGGCGGTGTGCATTTATGGCATATGCTTCTGAAATGTCTGAAAACTCTATCTGAGCTCCTTTGATGATATTTGTGAGAATTTTCAAACTCGTTTGAGTTAAATATTTCAAAGCTTTGTGAAAACAGACTTGATCATAATATCAACATGATCATAATTGAAGAAAATATTTAATGGGGTTAGCATTTGTATTGAACATGATATGCAAATGTTTGGAAGGAATTTGTGAATACTGAAGTAAGTGAAGCTGCTTTTCAAAAGTAATTGACATGTAAATAATTTCTAGATTAGATATACCTTGGGTACCAGTCTATGGCTCATTGAGGACTGTTTATTGTTCACCACTGGGGTGTCACTCTTAGAGGTGTTGTAAAGGGGTGTCTCTCTTAGAGGTATAAAGGAGTGTCCTTTAGTGGTGTGACACATAGGGGTGTCCTTTAGGGGTGTGACACATAGGGGTGTCTTATAGGGGTGTGACACATAGGGGTGTCTTATAGGGGTGTGACACATAGGAGCGTCTTGTAGGGGTGTGACATATATGGGTGTCCTTTAGGGGTGTGGCACATAGGGGTGTCCTTTAGGGGTGTGACACATAGGGGTGTCCTTTAGGGGTGTGGCACATAGGGGTGTCCTTTAGGGGTGTGGCACATAGGAGCGTCTTATAGGGGTGTGACACATAGGAGTGTCTTATAGGGGTGTGACACATAGGGGTGTCTTATAGGGGTGTGACACATAGAAGTGTCTTATAGGGGTGTGACACATAGGAGTGTCTTGTAGGGGTGTGACACATAGGAGTGTCTTATAGGGTTGTGACAAATAGGGGTGTGACAAATAGGGGTGTCTTATAGGGGTGTGACACATAGGAGTGTCTTATAGGGGTGTCCTTTAGGGGTGTCCTTCAGGGGTGTGACATATATGGGTGTCTTATAGGGGTGTGACACATAGGGGTGTCTTATAGGGGTGTGACACATAGGAGTGTCTTATAGGGGTGTCCTTTAGGGGTGTGACACATAGGGGTGTCTTATAGGGGTGTGACACATAGGGGTGTCTTATGGGGGTGTGACACATAGGGGTGTCTTATAGGGGTGTGACACATAGGAGCGTCTTGTAGGGGTGTGACACATAGGGGTGTGACATATATGGGTGTCCTTTAGGGGTGTGGCACATAGGGGTGTCTTGTAGGGGTGTGACACATAGGGGTGTCTTATAGGGGTGTGACACATAGGAGTGTCTTATAGGGGTGTGACACATAGGAGTGTGACAAATAGGGGTGTCTTATAGGGGTGTGACACATAGGAGTGTCTTATAGGGGTGCCCTTTAGGGGTGTCCTTCAGGGGTGTGACATATATGGGTGTCCTTTAGGGGTGTGACACATAGGGTGTCCTTTAGGGTGTGACACATAGGGGTGTCTTATAGGGGTGTGACACATAGGGGTGTCTTATAGGGGTGTGACACATAGTAGTGTCTTATAGGGGTGTGACACATAGGGGTGTCTTATAGGGGTGTGACACATAGGGGTGTCTTATAGGGGTGTGACACATTGTAGTGTCTTATAGGGGTGTGACACATAGGGGTGTCTTATAGGGTTGTGACAGATACGGGTCTTTTATAGGGGTGACATTTGTGTCTTTTTTTCTGGACCTGTTCAAGTTTGAAACAATTACTCCTTACAGCCTCACCTCAGGGGCTAAACTGAAAGTTGCCTCCATGAGTTGAAAGAGAATCCGCTCTCAGGAGGACATTCATGTATTTCTTGTCTCTGGGAGGAAGGAGTTAAGTCAGTTATGAGGGAAGTAGTTTTGAGGAAATTGTGAGTGGTTCAGAGATCACAGGATAACTGTAATGACATAAATAAAATAAAGTGATCACTGTATCACACAGTATAAGAAGAAAAAATTATTGATTGATGAGATAATGAGCCATGTGTATTTTACTATTGTCTTTTTACATTTCATTGTCTGGAATACTGTGTAGATTGATGTCTGGGGAAACTGACAATATGATGACACCAATACTCTATATTGACTGTGGACAAACGTGGCTTTGTGTCAGAAGATATCAAAATACAGTAACAAAAAACCTGCCATTGATTTTCTTAGGATGAAGTGAATTTCTGGTCAATATTTTATTATGTCAGTTCAGTTTGTTTAAGACTAACTGTTTATCCATAGAATTCCGACATCAAACATAACCCGCTTAATATGATGAATTGCTTAAAAATCCATTTCCTTAAAAACAGCAAAATCTTCCGTCTTCAGAAATCAGAATCTTATAATTATCAGCTTGTGATGCTTTTTGTCAGCAGGTCGATTTTACATTGACATTTCTTCAACTTGCAAGGTACTTCAGTTAGAAAAGTTCGACATTCAGTCCAATAAAAAGTTGAAGTGCCCAAGGCATTTAATACCTTCATCAATTTGCAGTACTTCAGATCAATCCAAATGTATTTCTCATCTTTGTCTTGTTGAGAGTTGAATTTCCCCACCCTCCTCTCAATTACATGACAGAGACTTTCATTCCTGGAGCAGCAATGGTTGATGCTTTGTACCAGTTCTATTGCATATTGAAATGGAAGGACCATGCCACGCCACAGTCCTCGTGACTCCTAATATCAATGTTCACAAAGCCCGTCTTTTTTGGCTTTAGAAAACCTTTATTAAGCAATTGAAACTTTGGTTCTTATGCTGGAGGCGTTTATTGAGAATTTAATAGTGGGCTTATTTGGATATCTCTCCATGCCAGTTAATCATGCAGAGGCAGTGTATGGCTGTGTACTTAGACTACAGACAGGGGTAGCTGGCTAAGGGGCTTGTTTGGTTTACACTTGCGGACCTCCCCGGGTTTATTCTGTCAATACTGAGCCTCATGATGGTGCTCAATGACGACTGGGATTCAGTGCCATTGAATTGCTTTTTTATTGATATTCAAAATCGGGTTTGATCATTTTTTTTACTATTTCCTCGCCCTTTGATAGCGAAGTGCTTGAGGTGGTGTTTCTACTGGTTCCTGTATTGATGACAGAGAGGATTCACAATAATTGATACTTTAGATTCCCACTTTTTGAAGTAACTGTGATTCTAGATGTTATGGTATCCAGCATTGATGCAAGATGGGATTCAAAATTATTGATAATTTACATTTCCACTTTTTGAAGAAACTTTAATTCTTGATGGCTTTGCATCCGTTTCATTAAGTGTAGTTCATAAACTTCAAAATGTTTGCGAATAGAAATGTCAGACTTACCAACAAAGCCAGAAATGCAATAGTTTTTATCCAGGTATTCGAAGAAACATAAGATCGCCTCATTGCATCGGTCTCTTTTACGAAAAAAAGGAAAAGGATAATGTCATAGTTATGGCTGAGGTGTATTTGGATTATTAGAACCTAGGGACCTACTAAATATGTAATGTTTTGACATTAGGGTTACGTTCTGTTTAAGTACTCCTTGGGTTTATTTTTTTATATATTCCCGACACATGGAAATGTTCAAAATTATTTTTTCTAACGTGGCTTAAGTTATTGACCTGAGGCAACCTTGCCCCTCTCTGTGAGACTGGCAGATGACAGTGGAATTGCTAGTTGAGTTGGTGGAAGTGTCAGGGACGTGTGTTTATGTTTGGGAACTGTGTGCCAGCGACAAACAGCCCCTGTGACAGTAATGGAGGCTAACATTTGAGAGAGGGGTTATGTTACCTTGTAGCGCTCTAAACACTGACAAACACACTTGTCTGGATTACACAAATGTTCTTTTCAAATGTTAAATTTACAAAAAGTGTTTCAGCATGGAAATTGATACCCTGTGAAAAAAACTTCCTGTCAAGAATGATAAGTTTAATAAATTTATGAAAATGTTTCTTCAAATATATTTTTTTCAAAGGTGTTATATAAATGTATCCCAATTTAAAGTTTGAAAAAGCTTTAGAAATTAAGATGGCTAGATTCTAAACGTGACACAGAAGCTTTGTGCTAAACACAGTGTTATTAAAAGTGGGATTATAATTGGCTTGGGAGTGTAGGGGGCATATAACTGATGTCTGCATGCGTTTTTTGTTATGAAGTTGAACGAGATTGATAAAAAGAATTCAACAAGAAACATGTAGGTTTATCTATTAATGCAGATCTTTGACAGAGAGATGTAAAGAATAAATAATCATGTTTTGTTGTTATCCCCAAATCCAATCTTAACCCATTTCATAAATGAACGAAGAGTAATTATCGTTAATGTACCAATCCAGCTAAATTATTGGACAAATATTTGTTCTGTAACTTTCTGTTTTGTTTCATCTCATATGTTCTTGATGTGATTTATCAGATTCACCATACAAAGATAAAACATCTTGCTCATTTCATCAGAATAGATAACAGAAAGAACCCATCTTTACATAGCATAAAGATTGTGAAGAGCAATGACAGCCTGTAACCAGTTTAAAGAGAAGGGTATGAGCAGTATCATAATAATTGGATTTGTGTTATCAACAACATGTCACAGGGAAACACATCTTTGTCCTGAGGATTATTCAGACTTCCAGGTATTTGGGGACAGTGGGGAAGCCAGATGGTTAAGGTGTTGGCTTGTCTTGGGTTTATATTTTCTCACATGGTTACAGTGTATGAAGTCCTTTTCTGGTTTCCTATTGCCATGATCTGGAATGGGACATCGTTAACTGCTGCATATAACACCTTGCTCTGCCACCCACCCACCCACCCACCCACCCACCCACCCACCCACCCACCCACCCACCCACTCACTCACTCACTCACTCACTCACTCACTCACTCACTCACTCACTCACTCACTCACTCACTCACTCACTCACTCACTCACTCACTCACTCACTCACTCACTCACTCACTCACTCACTCACTCAGCACATACTAAGCCTGACACTAACTGTCTGGACTTGCCTTCCAGAATCTGACAGCCCAGCAGGGCACTGCAGTAGAGAGTCTTCGGGCCCAGCTAGCTGAGGCCAATGAGAAGATCAACAAGCTGTCTGCGGACATGTCAGACAGGAAGACAGGATACCGCCACAACCAGCTGGAGGAGCTTCGCAACCTGCAAGAGAACATCAGCCGCGAGAAGGCCGAGTGGGAGAAGGAGAAGAGCCGTGAGGAGAGGTTCCTGGATCAGAGGAGAGAACAACTGGAGGATGAGAGGAGGAGGTTGGAGAAGAGAGAGGTGGGCTCTAATAGAGATAGCTTGATCTAGGCTCCACGATAGAGATTATTACCGGTTACTTGGGGGCTGACCTTTTTTACATTCTTTGAGGGAGGGGGTCTGGGATGTTTCCAGAAAAGTTGAAAAATAATTTGTTCTCAGGTTTTGCGAAAAGAATGAATTGTTCACCAGACCTACTGGATGTTCTGAGAAATATGTGACGTGGGTCCCGAGAACTGTTTAGCTGCTTCTTTGAGATAAATATATTGAGGATCCCACCCTCGTGTCATTGATATCCAATATGTCAACAATAGTTTGAAACTTTTGTTTAAGAGTGTTGATATGTTTGATGTCAAAAGACACGAGGATAAGATTCTATTTATCATCCAAAATCATTGTTTCAACTTTGTCATTTTGTAAAGAGTAATAAGCAGTGACTTGAGGGTAAAAAGTAAAGTTATCCAGCTGACAGATTAATGATGTCATTTGACTGTGATGTCATGGCAACTGATGGCAACACAATGGTCTGCGAAGTATTGTGTTGGAATTTCATTGCAGCCATATTTCCTAGGAGAGATCACTTATCTTACCCAACCAATCCTGTGGATGCCACTTTTGGATGATAAATGTACGTCTTGAAGCACTGACAAAACACACCAAAAAAAATTCACCAACAAAATTCACAGCTGATTACCAATTCCCAAATTAAGATTGAGAGAAATCCCAAATCAAGATTTTTAGATGTTATATTTTGGCAAAGTTCACTGATACTTCATTGTAACATTAATAAAGAGGGACAACAGGACCAACAATTTCATCTGAAAAAGCAAGTTAATTATTCTAATTCCTTTGTATGCAGGCTGACATTCGTGCTAAGAAGGATGAACTCCAACGTCAACGTGAGACTTTGCAGCGGCAAATTGACCTGATGAAAGAACAGAACATCAATGTCCCATCCCCGTTCTTCTCCACTCCGACTGAGGGGGTTTCCAGCCCATCAAGTGAGCGTGAAACTAGCCCCCAACAGGTTTCAGCAGCTGATAAACAACGAGAACTTGCCCACCGCAGGTCGGCATCGGCTGAGTTCTTCAACCCTCCACAAGATTTTGATCTAGTTCCTCATCAACGGGAGTCCAGCCAACCAGTTGACCTCTCAAGCAGCATCTCCAGCAATAACCGACAGCCACGGCTGTCTGTCGGCAACCTGCACAACGTCAACGCACCTGCAGCATCCAAACAAAACCTACCAATGCATCTTCTAAGTGCTAAGAATGAACAAAAGACGCAAGGAGTGAAAGTCCAGCAGTTGCCCTTGAAGCTCTCGGCGAGTGGAAGTCAGATCGGATCATCAATACCTCCTCCCAGCAATCAGCAACAACATCAGCAACATCACCAGCAACATCACCAGCAACAACATCAACAACAACAACATCAACAACAACATCAGCAGCAGCAACAGCAGCCTCACAGAGTATCCAGCACAGGTTCACTCAGCTCTGTTGCATCTAATGCTGCACAAAGTCCCAACAATATGTCTGGAACCCCGGCCCAGTCGCGATCAGGATCAAGTCTCCGGCGCTCGTCGCCGACCCGCACTGCCCCAGGACTCTCCAACCTGATGAAACTGGCAGAGCCCAATTCAGGAGGCAAACGTCGAAGCCCTTCTCAGGCAGCTCCCGGTCAACAACAGTCACCCCCAAACTCACAGAGGAACCCCTCCGGACCACAGAAACCAAGCAAGCCTGGTGATGTCTACTACTTCTAATTCTCAGGTAAGGATTCCTTAAAAACAAAAAGTTAGGACTTGGAATGAACTCCCCAGTTATTCAGCCATCAACATGAACAGAATTTACTTTAGTTCCTCCTATTTTCACCATGCATCCTGGTTTGGGGAGGTTAAAACATTAGCTTTTCTAACAAACAGATGGTTTAAGTCCTTACATAGAAATCATATTATGTCGGGCGGTGGGGTAAGCAGAATAGCAGTGAAACATTATGTGAATGGATCACTGAAAATCACTGATGACACCAGATGTTTGCAAGAAGGGTAAGCACGTCTTGTCCTACTGGTAGCAATGTTACTGGTAGCAATGCTTGTCTGTGATATGGCTGAAAGATTGCTAAATGCAGCATAAACTGTACTCACTCTTTGGTCGGACCCGTGAAGATCCGGGGTAGAATAGGTCTTCAGCAACCCATGCTTGCCGTTAAATGCGACTATGCTGGTTGTAAGAGGCGACCAACGGGATCGGGTAGTCAGGCTCACTGACTTGGTTGATACATGTCATCGTATCCTAATTGCGTGGATCGATGCTCATGATGTCAATCACTGGATTGTCTGGTCCAGACTCGATTATTTACAGACTGCCGTCATATAGCTGGAATATTGCTGAGTGTGGCGTTAAACAACAAACAAACAAACAAACACTCTGGGGTCGTGGGGTAGCCTAGTGGTTAAAGCATTGGCTCATTACGTCGAAGGCCAGGGTTCGATTCCCCCCATGTGTGAAGCCCATTTTCCGGTGTCCACTGCTATGACATTGCTGGAATATTGCTAAAAGTGGTGTAAAACCATACTCACTCACTGTACTCACTCTGATTGTGTCCACTGTGATATCATAAGAAACATAAAGCAGTTCTTATTTGGTTAACAGCTTTTGCCATTTGTTTCAGGACTCTTTTGCCCTGTGATGTGAAGTAACGCCTCTGTGATGGTATAGACAGAGGCAGGCAAGACCAGCAGATCCAGGCTAAAGAGGAGGCTGTGAGCTAGCATCACTTACTGCAACACGCACAAATTGCTGTGTACGTTCGTGTAGGGAGGGTCTGTCACGACCAATGTTTGTTGTGTAGTTTTCGTTTACCGTATATTTATATTACCATGGATATCTATAAAGGAAGAGGAAGAGCCTCCTGAGATGGGATCTGTGGATCTGTGGGCGTAACAGCACGCGGACATGTCAAACCTTGCTGGACTGAAGATGGGTGGAGGGTTGCACCGATCAGGCTGCAGAGAGCTGTCCCGGTATTGATGTCACTCCACCTGTACGGTTCAAGGGTGTCGAGGTCGGCAAATGTGGAAGCTGTGAAATGGTGTTGATGTGACAGTGGATGTAGCTGTAAAACTGGCAGCAATGATTCTGTGCATGAAGGATGAACCTTGATTTGACTTAAGGAGATACCACGTGATGGTATCTCACCTACTTGACTTACCTCCCTTTGATAGGGACTTGATGATGTCCGACACCTTGTGTCACACGTGGTGACCTGGGTCGGTATCTTACTTGGTGCCTATATAGGCGTCAACCATGACATTGTGGGCACTTGTTGCCTTGGACTACGCTACCGGATTTGACCAGGATCTCAGTCTGAATCCAAGAGGAGGATCAGACTCAGGATTCTGAGCTGCCCATCCGTGCCCGCTGCTAAATGTTCAGGTGAATGGAGGATGGGTGGGCAGAGCACGGACGTGTAACAGCTGGCGTCAGCCATGTCAGTTACTGTACAGTCACCGAAAATGTGCTAGGGAATTTTATACACCATATTTTATTATTGTGTAATCAAAACAAACCTATTTTAGTTTAAAACATATGCTTATGTCTCGTAGAATTTCTATTATTATTCACAATGATATTGCCTTTAAATATTACGAGGCATATGTACAGGATTAATTGTAGCTTAATGAACAAACAAGCCCGATAAATGGATGGATGACTGAAAGAAGAGATCTTGGAAGATACGGAGTCACATTTATAATTATGTTACTAATATCAGCAGAGGATGAGAGTCATTGTACAAAACCAATGCATTTGTTTGATGAACAAGTTTGCTATAACAAGCAGTGCAATATACTCATGGCTTACCTGTGGTTTACCTATGGTTTTCAGTGGTTTACCTGTGGTTTACCTGATTTACCATCTCTAGTCACGCTGACAGAGAGATAATCTTGTTAGGTTACATTTTTCGATGAAGGAATCATGATTGTGTTTCTGGATGTGCCTTGAAATGATAAGGACATTTTCAAATTTTTATGAATGTGACTGCCATGGGAGTTTGTTGCAAGGGCATTTCTGTGTGGGCATCTGAAGGAGGACAACTAATGATATTACTTGTTATGTGCAAACTCTACAGATATGTATTCTCAGTTGTTTGGATTTTTATTAATGCATGTTAAAAGTATTTAACCTAGGATTTTTAGATTTTCTTTGAGACTGAGGTGACGTGAACACTACACTATAGGATTTAAAAGGAATATTGACACATATCACAGTGGATATGCAAATATGTATGGAATGTCTAATTCCCGTCATAATGAGGCAAGAATTATTTTTTCATGATTGGAATATAAATACCTTTAGCACTTGATCAAATAGCAGAGAACATATCATTCTATTGCTCTGACAGTTTTCTAGTGTTAGTAACGAACATGTGTGTTTTGTTTTATTGGACTACTTACAATTTGAACCTAAACAAGTGTGTTTAGTGTATTCACCTTGTAAACACGCACTTCTCGGCTTGGACACAACCCACTACTATGAGACACATATGCATTTTGATGATGGACACATTATCAAATCTCATTGAAGGTATTCAAATCATTTTCCCAATCTTGACTTTTCGCAAATGGCTCTTTGAGAGAGACTTTTATAGCAACTATCAAGTGAATTCCTTCATTTTAACATTCCTTGTTTTTTCTCTCGATGAAAATGAATCTTTATTTTTTGACGAATGCAAATTATTAGGTTTTTGGCCTCAAGCGCAAGCAAGCCGTGTTTTTGTGTTGATCGAATTGTGATCGGCGACTTTTCTCATGTAGTTGTCTTCCCATATTCACTATGCCCTCCACTACAGCCACATGGTAGCCAAAACTGTGATGCATTGTGTGCTGCTACCTTGTATATCCTGTCTCCAACCCACAGCTTCTGCTTCAGTATAGCCCAGTCCTCGCTAGTTGCTTCCTGCTATGTATTCTTCACTTGATGATACAAAGCATGGAATAACTGCTTCAGTCTGCTTGTACAGCATGTAAAGCCTGGTCCAAGGTACTTCCTGTTCTGTATTCCCCACATGGTGATACAAAACATGAAATAACTAGACTTCTTGCATCAATTTAAATTGAAATTTAATGACAAACACTTGTCAAATGTGAAAGCTTAGATCAAATTTTGGACTTAAATCTAAAATGTATGACTTACATATCAACAGACATACCTTTTAGATTAAAGTCTTTATAGTACAAATGATCAACCAGTCTGCCAATTTTGAGGATGTAACTACTGGCACTATTGTGTAGAACTGGTCTATGATGCATCAGAGTGGTGCCATATTTTGAAACCATGAACTGCGCCTATGTACCAGCACTGTATTATACACAGTAAATGCACATATGTTTTAGTCTAATGCTGTTTAGCCTTGTACAACAGCTACCTTTGTTATGTGTAAAGGTGTTGCACAAGGAAGCATTTTACCTCCTTGTCTTTTAATGGTGCCTTCTATTGTTAGACCCAGTTTCTGTTATTCAATACCCTTCCACTCGTTATCATGTTACTATTGAACAGATACTTTTAAAATGTTACTGACATTTTATTAAGCCTGTAGCATCCATGTTAGTTGTTTCATCAATAGATGCATTTACCTTGCATTATGTGCACTATGGGCGCTGGTTTTTAAGTTATTGTTTTGAAGCATGCTTATGTTGCTTTCTCAAATTGTATAGCTGATTAAGCATTTTGTGATAACACCAGTGTAGCTACACCCAACACTTTGTCTTTTTAAAATATATTTTTTAAGAAAAAAATACATTTGTGGGTCAGATTTCTAAGAGCAATTGTTGTATAATTGCATATTACATTGTAATTTTTGTAATTTAATTGACAAAAAATACAAAAAAAATATTGTAACTTATCATGTAGTTAATTGGGATGGAAACTTATATGAAATGATTGTTTTCGACATTGTTACAAAATGGAAAAATTCCATGCAAAAATAATTACTATCATCCATTTGTAATAAAATGATCAAATGGCAGATGTGTGTTTGTTGGTTGTTGTATTAAGAGAAAAGTGCCAGTGTCAAGTGCCTCAACACAGATCTGGGAATTGTTGTTTCACAATATCAACTGAACTCAATTCACATTGCACACAATGTAATAATGTCATAATATCATGACAATTGTGAATATGATACTGAACCCTGCATCGGGATATATGCATATGCAACAAGATTTCAATATAAAAGACTGATGCACACTGTATGACTAGACTGAAATTTGACACATTGCATGAAAAGGCCCATGTTTGACTAAACTGATAAATGACACATTACCTGCAATTCCCTAATTTAAAACAACATCTCAGGTGCTGATGAGACTACCAATGCATATGGCTTATTTATATAACAGTGACATTCCCATTATTATAAAGAATATGCCCTGCTCTTGTGATCCAAAGGGCACACTGAAGTCCAGGTTGGATAAACAAATTTCTACAATATCAGGGATGAGACTAGACTGGTGGACTTGGTTGACCATAAAAGGTTCTACAACGTCAGAGATGAGATGAGACTGGTCAAACTGAAGACATGGTTGGACATACAAGATTCTAGTGTTATAGAGTCACTTGGCAGGGACACTGAAGATTCTGCCATACAAAGTTCTACAATTGCAGTGTCATAGAGTCACCTGACTTGTCACTCTCAGTGAAAAAAAATAGTTGCTTGCCAGCTTTCACAAAATTTGGTTGGGTTAGAGCTTCTGAAATGTCCCTAGCCCAGGCTACTGAATTTTAAACAGTAATTTCTTTTCTACACACCTCTTATTTGACCAAAATAAAAAAGTTCTCCCTTGTTCTTGATCAGTACACACAAAAAAAAATCAAATTAATATCTCTAATGACTTGAGGATGTGAGATCAGTGTTGCCCCCTTCACAACCTTTGACTCATGATTTGCAATTTAGGTTTACTATATTGATACATTAGCAGAATCAAATTTCTGGACAAATATGATGTGGCATATTTCAAACTAGTGAAATTAGAAACTGGCTAGTATCTTTTAAGGCTAGCTGGCCCATTCACTCTTATCTGACTATTTCACACACAGGTCACACTAAAGTCTTGGTTGGCTTTACAAGATTCTACAATGACAAAAGGTCACAAGATTGGTCACACTGAAGACTTGGTTGGCTCTACAAGATTCTACAATGCCAAAAAGTCACAAGATTGGTCACACTGAAGACTTGGTTGGCTTTACAAGATTCTACAATACCAAAAAGTTACAAGTTTGGTCACATTGAAGACTTGGTTGGCTTTACAAGATTCTACAATGCCAAAAAGTCACAAGATTGGTCACACTGAAGATTTGGTTGGCTTTACAAGATTCTACAATGACAAATAGTCACAAGATTGGTCACACTGAAGACTTGGTTGGCTTTACAAGATTCTATGATACCAAAAAGTCACAAGATTGGTCATACTGAAGACTTGGTTGGCTTTACAAGATTCTATAATACCAAAAAGTTACAAGTTTGGTCACACTGAAGACTTGGTTGGCTTTACAAGATTCTACAATACCAAAAAGTCACAAGATTGGTCACATTGAAGACTTGGTTGGCTTTACAAGATTCTACAATGCCAAAAAGTCACAAGTTTGGTCACACTGAAGACTTGGTTGGCTTTACAAGATTCTACAATGCCAAAAAGTCACAAGATTGGTCACACTGAAGACTTGGTTGGCTTTACAAGATTCTACAATGCCAAAAAGTCACAAGTTTGGTCACACTGAAGACTTGGTTGGCTTGACAAGATTCTACAATACCAAAAAGTCACAAGATTGGTCACACTGAAGACTTGGTTGGCTTTACAAGATTCTACAATGCCAAAAAGTCACAAGTTTTGGTCACACTGAAGACTTGGTTGGCTTTACAAGATTCTATAATACCAAAAAGTCACAAGATTGGTCACACTGAAGTCTTGGTTGGCTTTACAAGATTCTACAATGCCAAAAAGTCACAAGTTTGGTCACACTGAAGACTTGGTTCCTCAAACAAGATTCTCCCATGTCAAGAATAACTCGAGGCTGGTTGCTGTCTCAGAAAAGGTGTACCACATCAGAACTAGAGTAGAAGAGTAGACAGACGAAAAGATAAAAATATTATATCTATTCCGACCAGACAATCCAGTGATTAATATTGTAAGCAACCTTTCACGCTGTCGGGATATGATGAAAGCTTTCGGTATGTAACCAAGTGGCGAGCGGTTCAGTTTAGTCGCCTCATACAAGCATAGGTTGCTGCCGACCTTTTCTACCCCGGATCTCAAACGGAGCATTTAGGTTTGTATCCTGGTATTCGTATAGTTTGTTTTACCCCAGATGCATCTTGTACAAACCAGAGAGTCTATATAAGTCTCAGATGAGATTCCAGTGTTCGCTCGTCACATGGAAGTCCCACCCGGGTTCGATTCCCCACATGGGTACAATGTGTGAAGCCAATTTCTGGTGTCCCCCACCGTGATATTGCTGGGATATTCCATAAAGCGACTTAAAACAATACTCACTCACTCCCTCAGGTGAGTTACAAGTCGAAGTGAGCCGAGTTTTACGCTGCTTTTAGAAATATTCAAGACAGGGAACCCTAGAAATGTGCTTTTCACATTGTACCTATGTGGAGAATCGAACCCGGGACTTCGGCGCGACGAACAAACGCTACAACCACGAGGCTACCCCACCTCCCCAAATAAAATCGGGTGATACTGGTTCGCGTTAAGTAAGTTACACGCTAATTATAACGCTGTAATTATTTTAAGGCGTCTAGTTCATGCTCAGGGGTCGTGTACATACCAAACAGTTTCATATTTGGGATTTCCAACACCAAACGGGCAGATCTCAACGTTTGCGGGAGAAAACACACGCAATATGATGGTCAACAGGTGTATTATAAAAAGCATTTCCTGTTTCATTCTTAACAACAGCTAATATGTTCTTTTTCATTTGTGTGTAATTTGGCCCATGTAGACTATCAGTGTTTCTAAAGAACCACGCTCAATGCTAATTAAAATGCCAATTAGGAAAACAGTTCTTAGGCATGTACGTAAAAACATAGGTGCAAGATACTTAACTCTATCTTCAGCAAACAACAGTTAAAGGGGACCCAGGGCGCATGTGAGATTGTCGCGTGATGGCGGTGTCTACATTCACTACACAACTTCAAACGTTCCTGTAACTAACACAAGCCGTTCAAGTTTGCACAGGTCATGATTTTTCCTTCGTTAAAATCAAATATTTCAAGTACATATCTGTGCGCGAGTTTGACCCCCTACCCCTATTGCCTGCTCTTTGGCTCGAGCGGTGTGGATGTCAAACACACTCGCATTGACAAGAGCTCGCGTTTGGTGACTCCGTTTACACGCAACGATATGTGATACCCTGCCAATATTGAATTTCAGACTGCGGCACCTCAATGAGAATTATGTGCACAAGTAGTATGTACCCCAATGTCACCGGCAGCATGACAAATCACCGCGTAATTGACAAAGGCAATTCACACGGGTCGACAATGATGAACTCGATCTGATGTTCGCGCACGTCCACCAATAGCCGGTGACAAAGACCAGCTGTCAAGCCGGACGGCCATCAGCCCTCCACCCCTGCCCCGATACACCCGGTATTCCACTGCCACCCGTGATACACCCCCTTGAGTCAGGCGTGTCCCTGGGAGATGTGGGGCAATGGCACGTCCAAGAACCCACCCCTTATGGTGGAGCCGTCGTCTGGGGAAAGTACGAGTGCGGTATTTCTCGTATTTGCGGTAACGTTACACCGGAAACTGATACCCGTGTTGAGTGTTAAGTCTTTATACTACGACGTTCAGTCGACTTTAAATTTCTGAATTGATTATATTAAGTTTTTTTTCTATATAAAGATTTTATTATAGAACACTATTATATCAGTTGGAGGTCAATTCTCAACCCACACAATTGTTTATGTTAACATTTAATGTATATTACTACATAACATATATGTATATGTGTGCAAAAACATATGTCAACAAAAATATTTTTATTTAGTACAATTTATGCTCAGAGAAAAACATTTGATACTGAGTGGGGTATTCATGTTAAACTGCGGCATGGTATCTCAGTGAGCTAGCACTATAAATGGCATCGGTCCGGACTAGTACAAGCAGCCACATGCATAGATACACACGTGCATGCACGTCTCTATATAAGTGCAATAATCTTGTACGCGACGTTAAACCTCACCTCGAATTGTATGACAGACCAATCTGCCAGTTAAAGGGGAAGTGTACACGCAAAAATCACTTTCTTTCTTTTTCTAAACAAAACGCAATTTTAGAATTAATTAGTATCTGTGTTTGAAAATATACACTCATTTTTTTCACAGTGAAAGTAGGAAGCTCACAATAGTGTGAAAATGATATGCCGTTATGAGGCCTTCGTTTTTCGAGCTAAACAGGCCTGAGTTATCCCCCTTAGATTATGACGTAATTGGTGCCAATTCAACTGGGTCCCTGTCTATTCTCAACGCAAAAGATATCAAGTACCAGTTTGCGGTAAAACAACATGGCCTACGACACACTCCGGCGCAGTGGTGACTCAGCATAACACTATGCTGGCTGGCATCTGAGACGCTAGAATCACACACCTAGACCTACACCACGTGAAGCGGCTCTAACAAAGCATGATGACGTCATAATGTTTATCAATTGGCACCAATGACGTCATATTGCAAGGGGCATAAGCCATGGTGTTTTTGTTGTGGAAATAGAACACTTGGTAAATGTGAAAAATATAAATCGTTTTAATGCGAAAAATATGTTAATTAATTGTGATATTTTTATATTTTTGTCTATGACACTTCTAGGTTAACACTTTTAATGTGGAAAAAGTACAAGAAAAATAGGTTAATTTCCGTGTGAACTTGCCCTTTAATTATTACCATAGTTACACCGAGTCAATGTCCATTCATATGACAATAAGGTCACGGTCTAGGTTGCTGGGTAAGCTTGTAGAT